AACTTCATTTAAATTCTTTCCTTTTAAGTCATTTTGTTTTTTGTAGCAATCTTTAGCAAAGTGACCCAACTTACCACAATAATAACATTTCTTTCCCTTAGCCTTGGTTTTGTATTTCATTTTATCATTATTTATTTTCTTAGGGTCATTTGAAAACTTTGAATGAAAATTAGATTTACTAACATTTTTGCCTTTTAACAAAAGATTTTCTCCACTTTGATGGTTGATAGAATCTGATTTTAATTCAAGAACCCTATTTCTCAAGGCATTTATAATGATATCTGTGGGAAGACTATCTCTACTATATTTCAAGGCATTCTTTAAGTCTCTATGCCTATCACTAATGAAGTTTAACGAGACCACTGCCAGCTGATCTTCTGATAATTTCTCATCACAGTTGGCAAGGTCCTGGGTCAGTTTTAGTTTCTCCTATAGTCCTGATCACACTGTCTGAAAGGTACATAAAAAATTGTACTTCATGCTATTTCTTCTAATTCAGTTCTTTTACCAGCGGACATTTCAGTAGGCCATGTATTATCTAAGGCTTTAGCACATTTCATTTGCATCAAGATAGCCCTCATTTTCTGAATCCACATATTAAAGTCCCCCCCTTCCATCATACATACTCATTTCAAACTTAGCAGTAGCCATCACAGTATGTCAGGTTAATGTACAAGACACAAGTTTGAATTTCAAGAATACACTGAGGGTCACTTAGAACAGGACTAGTTACAGATCACAGATTATTGTTAATCAATAATGCACTTAGTAAGGTAATCTCAAAACAATGATCACTCAATTCACAGTAAAGAAGCAGAAACAGAAAAACAGAGATTACTATCCTATGTATCTCAACTGAATTTCTCCAGCAAGATCTTCCAATTGTACTCCTTCATCGTGTTGTTATCTCATATTCCCAAGACTTCTTGGAGTCTTTGAACAAAGACCAATCACAGGAGGGTGTTGAAATACAAGGTAAATCAAGGGAAAATTTTCAAGAAATACAACAGGTAAAAAATTACCAGACACGAAGTATAGGAAAGATCTCACCAAAAGAATTTAAGAACTCAAATTCCTTCTGCTCGAGTTAACACAGTTTGAGGCAGTATTCGAATGCACAATTTCCTAGAGGATCAGGTATCACTCAAAATGCCATGGCTCTGATACCACTGAAAGAACGAGAAAACTTCGAGATTAACTACAGTCTCATGATCAAGCCATTAAACAACAAAATAAATGCAGAAAATAAAAATCAACACGAGGAATTTTTTGGCCGTAGCCCCAGAGGATCGGCGACCACTTTCTAATGCCTAATTCCCTGTTGAGCATCCATTATAAATGGATAAAGCTCGGTTGCACTAATAGCCCAAAAATCGACAGCAAATATACAAGAGTATCTCAGAAAATATTACAAAGAACTCAACACGAAAACTTATCTTTGCAAGAACTACTCGACAGACTGCTATTCCACAAAGGAATCAAACAGATCACAAAGATCTATCAAGAACCAGAACTGCACGCTATGAATCACACGGATTCATCCAAAATACCACACAGGATAATACACGAATATGCATATCTATAATACTGATAAGTGTATTTTTACACACTTATTTAGCACTTTTTGGAACTTTATTATTGATAAAATTGAGTAGATTTCTATTTATAATTGTGTAATTGTTACTTTTGTAGGCTAAAACCCCGGAAAGAAGTATAACGAACGAAAAGAGAAGGAAAAGGACTTAAATTGAACAAAATTGTGAAGCTTAGGACTTGAAGTACAATTATGGAAGAGCCTAAATGTAATAAAAGTCAAATTTTGAGGACCAAATTGCACTAAATGAAAGTTGAAGGACCTGATCTGCAATTTCGAGATTTTTGGTCAACCTTTTTATTATTTTATCCTTATTTTATGCTAGATATTTTTAGGATATTTATGTTGTGTCTAATAATATTTTTTTATATTATATTTTATCCTTATTTTATGCTAAATATTTTTAGGATATTTATGTTGTCTCTAATAATATATATATATATTTCTATATATTATATTTTATACATATTCCATATATATACTAATATAACTTGGTAGGTAAAAAAAATTCCCCAACTCTTTCACTTTTCTCTCTATCTCTCTAGGTCTCTCTCGCTCTTTTTCTTGGTTTTTTTTCTTTTAGTTTTATTTTCTTTTGTTAATTTTAATTTTATTTTGGGAATCAAGTGGATATAGCAAGGAGATCATTAAGGAAAGCTTGAAGAATACACTGAAAGAATTACAATTCGTATTTAAAAGGTGTTTATCTCAACTTTTGTATTCCTTTCATTTAGTTCTTCATGTTTGAAATGATAGGTTTATGAGAATCTCTTTGTTATTTTGTTAGAATGATGAACTAAACAAGTTTATGTTGGAATTTATGTATTAGCTTAACCTATTTTCATTAATATCGTGTTATATGTTGTTAGATATGCATTTGTTATCAAAATATTGGTGTATTAATTATCATGTTTAAGATTACTACATTTATTTGACGTCAATAGATGTTGTGGTTAGGTAGTTGTGTAATTATTGAAAAATTATTGCACATAATGGACCGAAATAATTAATACCATAGGTTTGTATGGTTACGACTATACGCGTTTAGGTATCTAGACATGTATACCTACCCTATGTGACCCGTTGAGTTATTTTCACAAAAATTGAATGCAGTTGTTTGGTTTAGAACGACATAGAAATATGTTAATGCCAAGCAATTAGGGTTGATATCGCTCGACAGAGGTTATTGACTAATTTTGGAAAATCTGGTCTAACACATATTTTGGTAATTTGCATCGACGCATAATGGCTTGAAAAGGGTTAAGCGAAATCATAAATTCCAACATCTTTTAAAATCAAACTTTTCCATTTTTTAAGTATTATTTAAATATTTTAAATCAAAATCGAGTTTTCACCTTTTTATAGTTTTTAAAATCGAACTTTTAAATGTGTGTATCTTTTTCGTTAATTTCAAACAAATACATTCGTAATTGAAAACAACATTCTCTGAGGGATCGACTGGGACTTAAAAGGTCCATTATACTACTTGATCGCGACCCCGTGCACTTGCGGCGTGCCATTTAATACCGATCAAGTTTTTGGCGCCGTTGCCAGGGAGTGTTTTTATCAAATTACCAGTTAATTTGTCAATCACTTTAACGAACTTTTTGTTTTAAATTCCCCCTTTTAAATCCAAAAGTTACTTTGTCTTTGTTTTTATCAAATTCCTAACTCGTTCATTGTTTATGCATCGTTCGCGAAGTCTCAATCTTCTAGAATTTGATCCTGAAATCGAAGGGACTTTCCGAAAGAGGCTTAGAGAACAAATGAGTTGAAAAGACAACAACGAGACATGGAGCATCAAGAAGGTCATCTGGACCCTCTTATTCGACATGAACAAGCTCCTCAGGATGATGTGCCACCTGGTTTTGATAATCAAGCGGGCAGGGTTCAAAATCCTGTAGTCAATGAGGAAGATATGTTGTTTAGGGATTTTCTGAACCGCCCTGTCGTTGAGAACCAAGCGGGTATCATTTACCCGTCATATGGACACCCTAACTTTCAACTACGACCAGATGTCATTAATCTATTCTCCAATTCTTTATCATTCTATGGTAGAATAGATGAAAACCCACACGCTCACATCGCGAGATTCAAGGAAATTGTTAGCAATTTCACATATGAAGGTGTGAATGATGAGGTTATAAGAATGAGGTTATTCGTGCATACTCTGAAAGATAAGGCAAGAGAGTGGATTGACACTCTACCTTCGAGGAGTATCACGAGTTGGGTGGAGTTGGTACAAAAATTCACTACTAAATTTTTCCCACCTGCTCGTGTGGCCAAGTTAAAGCACGATATAACCACTTTCCAACAACTTGACTCTGAAACCTTTCATAAGGCTTGGGAGAGGTTCAAGGACATGCTAAGAAAGTGCCCAAACAATGGGATTACTTTAGCACAACAAGTCCAGTGCTTCTACGCCGGGTTAACTCTTTCTCACCGCTCAAATGTTGACTCATCGTCAAACGGATCTATCCAAAACAAAAGTATTCGAGAGGCGTATGAGCTATTTGAGGTGATGAGTGAACAGAGTGCCATGTGGCCAGATAGACGTGCTAAAGTGGGAGTTAGTGGAGCTCAAGAAAGTGAAGCATACTCTCTTATGTTATCAAAGATTGACTTTCTAGCACGAAAAGTAGAAGGACTTTCTACTTCATCATCTGGCTCTCATTCAGCTCATATGGTCCAATCCCCACCTGCCTGTGAAATGTACGGAGCTAATCATTTGAGTTCAAGTTGTCTGTTGATTGCTAGTAGTTCGGGATCCACCGAGCAATTGGCATATACACAAAATTTTCAACGCCTTGGGTACAATCCTTACGCTCAAACTTATAACCCTGGATGGCGTAATCACCCTAACTTCTCTTATGGGAATAACCAGAATGTGTTAAATCCTAAACCACAAAAGAAGAAAGAAGGTTGGGAAGAGGCCATTGCTAAGTTAGCAAATCATCAATTGCAATACCAAGAACGCAGTGATGCCTCGTTGAAAAATTTGGAAAGGCGGGTGGGCCAGATTGCAAAACTTCTCTCTGAGAGGCCTCAAGGGGCTTTACCCAGTGACACTGAAACAAATCCTAGAGAGAATGCAAAGGTCATTATTACCAGGAGTGGGATTCAATTGCCTGAACCCATGATAGTACAGCAAAAGGCTCGAGCTGACAAAGAACCAGTCGTTGAAAATGAGGTGGTGCAAGCACCTAAAGAGGTTGTTGAAGAAGGTAAGACTGATGAACGGGAACTATTAACATCAAAGACTCCAATTCCAGTCAAAGCCTATGTACCTCCTATTCCTTTCCCTTAAAGGTTCCTGAAGCATAAACTGGATATTCAATTTGGTAAGTTTTTGGAGGTGTTTAAAAAGCTACACATTAACATTCCGTTTGCAGATGCTCTGGCTCAAATGCCGAGTTATGCGAAGTTCATGAAAGATATCCTTTCTAACAAAAGGAAACTTGAAGAGCATGAAACGGTGATATTGACGGAAGAGTGTAGCGCCATTCTCCAGAACAAATTGCCTCCTAAAATCAAAGATCCAGGGAGCTTTACTATTCCATGTGCTATTGGGGATCTTAATTTTACTAAAACTTTGTGTGATCTCGGAGCGAGCATTAACTTAATGCCCTTGTCTATTTTTGAAAAGTTGGGAATGGGAGAAGCAAAGGCTACTACGGTATCATTGCAATTGGCCGATCGGTCAATTAAATATCCTCGAGGTGTGGTTGAGGATGTCTTGTAAGAGTGGATAAGTTCATCTTCCCTGCTAATTTCATTATACTTGACATGGAAGAAGATAATGATGTCCTTATCATTCTGGGGTGACCATTTCTTACCACCGGTCGAGCCTTGATTAACGTACAAGAGGGTAAACTCATTTTAAGGGTACAAGATGAGCAAGTCACTTTTAACATCTTGAAATCCATAAAGTACTCGTCAGAACCAGATGACTGTTTTCGGGTGGATATGATTGATCATTTGGTTGCCGACTCTCTTTATGGGCGTTCTGACGACACTCTTGAGAGATGCCTAGTAAGTTCTTCTGATATAAGTGATGGTGACCCCGATGTTGAAGGTATGACAAAGTACTTGGAAGCTACACCTTTCCGCACCTTCAAGAGGGTACCATATTATGAGGAGGTGGAAAAGACATCTTCAATACCTCTTCCATCTCATCAAAAAGCCCCTACGCCTGATTTGAAAATACTTCCACCTCATTTGAGGTACGCCTATTTAGGAGAATCATCCACACTTCCAGTGATCATCTCCAAGTCCTTAACCGATCTAGAAGTAGAGAAGCTACTTCGAGTCTTATGAGAACATAAGGAAGCAATTGGATGGACGATAGATGATAATCGGGGAATCAGTCCGTCATTTTGTATGCACAAAATACGGATGGAGAATGACTTTAAGCTATCAGTCGAGCATCAAAGGCGGTTAAATCCGAATATGAAAGAAGTGGTGAGAGCGGAAGTTGTTAAATTACTTGATGCAGGCATTATCTATCCCATTTCTGATAGTCCATGGGTAAGTCCTGTTCAAGTTGTACCTAAGAAAGAAGGCATAACGGTAGTGAAAAATGAGGACAACGAACTCATACCCACTAGATCGGTGACTGGTTGGCGAGTGTGTATTGACTACCGCAAGTTAAATACTGCAACTATAAAGGATCACTTTCCTCTTCCTTTCATAGATCAAATACTAGAGCGGTTGGCAGGGTATTCACATTATTATTTTCTTGATGGGTATTCGGGCTATAATCAAATTCCAATAGCTCCGGAAGATCAAGAGAAAACAACATTTACATGCTCGTACGGTACTTTTGCGTACAGGAGAATGCCCTTTGGCCTGTGCAATGCACCTGCTACGTTCCAAAGGTGTATGATGGCGATTTTCTCCGACATGGTGGAGAAAAGTATTGAGATTTTTATGGATGATTTTTTAGTTTTCGGTGCCTCATTTAATAGATGTCTTAACAATTTAGAGATGGTACTTAGACGATGTAAAGAGACCAATTTGGTTCTAAATTGGGAAAAGTGTCATTTCATGGTCAAAGAAGGCATAGTTCTTAGCCATCGAATTTCTCTGAAAGGCATAGAGGTTGATAAGGCAAAAATTCAAGTAATTGAAAAATTGCCTCCACCAACTATAGTAAAGGGAATTCGAAGTTTTCTTGGACATGCTGGCTTTTACAGGAGGTTTATTAAAGACTTTTCAAAAATCACAAAACCTCTTTGTTCCTTGCTTGAAAAGAACACGGTCTTTAATTTCTCTCTAGAATGCCTTAATGCTTTCAATGCACTGAAGGAAAAGCTTATCACGGCTCCTATCATCGCAGCTCCAGATTGGAATCTTCCATTCGAGCTGATGTGCGATGCTAGTGATTATGCTGTTGGAGCAATTCTGGGGTAGAGGAGAGATAAAGTCCTACATGTTATCTATTACGCCAGTCGAACTTTGACCGATGTGCAATTGAATTATGCTACTACTGAAAAGGAGATGCTGATAGTAGTATTTGCATTTGATAAATTTTGGTCATACCTCATTGGTTCCAAAGTAATTGTCTACACTGACCACTCGGCCATCAAATATTTGTTGGCAAAGAAAGATGTCAAGCCGAGGTTGATCAGATGGGTACCCCTCTTGCAGGAGTTCGACCTCAAGATTCGAGATAAAAAGGGAACTGAAAATGTCGTTGCTAATCATTTATCTCGTCTCGAGCAACCCGAATACGTTTTGGAAGGTGAAATCAATGAGGTGTTTCCTGATGAACAGCTGTTGCAAATCATCCAGATTTTACAAGCCAATCATACACCATGGTATGCAGACCATGTGAACTATCTTGTTAGTGGCATCATACCCCCAGCTCTTTCTTATCAACAAAGGAAGAGGTTCTTCGCTGATGTGAAGCATTACTTCTGGGAAGATCCTTTGTTATTCAAACGGGGTCCGGATCAAATTATCCGGAGATGTGTGCCGGAGGAGGAAATGGAGAAAATACTTGAACGATGTCATGCTTCTCAATATGGTGGTCACTTTGGTGCTGTAAAAACTGCATCAAAGGTCCTTCAATCTGGTTTTTATTGGCCCACCTTATTTAAGGATGCTCATACACTTGTCTCTAAGTGTGATCGATGCCAACGGACCGGTGAAATTTCCAAACGTAATGAAATGCCGTTGAATTCCTTATTGGAGGTGGAGATATTTGATGTTTGGGGTATTGATTTTATGGGGCCATTTCCGTCCTCATTTTCAAATAAATACATATTGGTGGTTCTACGTGTCAAAGTGGGTAGAAGCGGTAGCTTTACCTACTAATGATGCTCGGGTGGTAGTAAATTTTCTGAAGAAAAATATTTTCCCGCGCTATGGCACTCCCCGAGCTATCATTAGTGATGGTGGTAAACATTTCTGTAATCGCCTCTTTGACTCACTTTTGACCAAATATGGAGTGAATCATCGAGTGGCCACTCCCTATCATCCCCAAACAAGTGGCCAAGTTGAAATATCTAATCGAGAGTTAAAGAGAATTTGCGAGTTGACGGTCAATGCATCAAGAAAAGATTGGTCCAAAAAGTTAGACGATACATTGTGGGCATATCGGACTGCTTTTAAAACGCCGATTGGTATGTCTCCATATCGGCTTCTATTTGGAAAAGCATGTCATTTACCGGTCGAACTCGAATATCGGGCCTATTGGGCTATCAAAGCCTTGAATTTTGATGAAAAATTGGCCGGTGAGAAGAGATTGCTCCAACTGAATGAACTTGACGAAATTCGCCTTGATGCATATGAGAGTGCACGTCTCTATAAAGAAAAGACAAAGAGATGGCATGATCAGCACATTGTGAGGCGGGAGTTTTTTGTCGGGCAACAAGTTCTTCTATACGATTTTCGACTCCAATTATTCCCTGGAAAACTCCGCTCCAGATGGTCGGGTCCTTTCACCATCGTAAAAAATTTTCCACATGGAGCGGTTGAGCTTCTTGATGAAGGAAAGGCGAATTTCAAAGTAAATGGTCACAGATTGAAACCATATTTGGGAGGTGATTTTGCTAATGAAAAATCCTCCATTCCTTTCAAAGATCCGAAATAAAGATGCCCTATAGTCGAGCTAAGGACTATAACCAAGCGCTTCTTGGGAGGTAGCCCAACTGTTTTAACTCTTGTTTTATTTATTTACTTTTAATGCTTTTGGTTATTATATTGTTGAACTAATATATTTATTTTGTAGGAAATTTTTGATATCCCAACCATTTCTGGATCTCCCAGGTTCTGGAACAATTCATGTGCAAAGAAGTCTTTGATCCAAGTGACTCACGTTCATCATAAGTCCAGCAAATGCATTGGTTCCACTTTACGAATGGCTATTCAGGGAAGTTTCCTTATTCCACTTTACTTTAGCTTGTTATTTACATATTGATGACAATGTGTGAATTAAGTTCGGGGGTGATGAGCCTTGTCGGCTATTGCTTTGCTAGATGTTAGAGCCTTGTCGGCTTTCTTTTTGTGTTTGTACATATTTTTTGTGTGTTATATCGACATGTTAGGTGAGCCTTGCCGGCTTTGAAATGCGTGATGTTGAAATTGTTCTTGATTCATAAGCTATGCATGCGTGCCAAATATGCTATTATGTGTAAAAAATTTCGATTCGAAAATTGCTTATTCTATGTGAGATCTTGAGTTACATTGAACATAGTCATGATTAATTATCATTTAGATGTGGAAATAGCTGTTTGTTGGAAAATTTTTGAATTGATGAGAACTTAGGTTGTGAGTTATCTGAAACAGTATATCAACTTATGTCTTATTCTCTTTCACTTTACCTTGTACTGTGAGAAATGTTGAATTAGCTAGTTTGTTATTTTCATTGACGATGTAGTAACTGAATAGGGTGAACACAAAGCTGGTGAGACTTTGAGCCGATAGACTGACATTTATTACAGTCTCATCATTTCTTTTTGGTGTGACATTATTCCATGATTATGATTCTCTAGAACTTGCGTTGCTTCTTTAAAATATCACATTGATACATGTATACATGAATATGATTTAAGGCAATTTTTGTTACCACTTTAGCCAAATAGCTTACCATGAAATTACTCTTTCCTTTGATAACCCCTTTGAGCCTATTTGCCTTTTCTTTGGTTTACCCACATTACAAGCTTTCATTTCTAGAAAACAATATCTTTATCCAGCCCTCAAAGCTAGTGGAGTGTTGTTGGTTTTATTGAATGTTGGGTGTGAAAGAAAAGAAGTTTGGGGGTATCAATATCATTTGAGGTGCTATGTTGGTGTGTATATATATATATATAATTGTTTGACAAGGGAAAATATGTGGAGGAGACTGATTTTGAGTGACTAAAATTATAAGTTCTCCTGAGAGTTGAAAGAAGAAAAAGGGTGATTGTGCTGAATTGATGATAAGAAAGAAGTTATTGATTGGAGGGATAGGGTTGTGTACAGATCCTGTCTATGTTGAGCTGAGTTGAATATCTTTTACTCCACTGATTTATTTGAAGCTTCGTAGTCACTTATCCAAATGTTTCAACACCTTAACCTTAAGCCACATTTCAACCCTGAAAAGACCTTATGATTTATGTAATCCATGTGATCTAAGTGGTGACGATTAAGAAAATATGCAAGCTTATGGTAGAACATATTCATTGGAATGATCTGAGCGAAATAGTACCCAGTCTTATACACTTGAGAGTGAGTGATCATACTATCTTACAAGGTTCTACATGTTCAGTTACTTTATCTTCATCTGAGAATGCATGCTAGTTGAGTATTTTTGATCGATAAAGAAAAGAGTGTTTGAGAGCAACGTTTAGATTTACACTTGGGAAATGAAGTGGAATATCTGTATTTGAGTGTGAATCTTACGAGCAGGAAAGAATATATTTGACCACTGAGGGTCGGGTTGGTGCTAATTTAGAAATTTTACTGTCTTGACAGTCTTTTCTTAGTTTAGATGATGATTGAAAATGGCTATGCACACACACACACTGATTGAACATGGGATAAGCTGTAATTATTTTTTATAGCATTATTTGGAAGTATGGCTGTGAATTGATATACAATTTTGAACTCTATGATATTTATAGCAAGGTATCTAATATGTTGATCATTTTTTCATTTGCATGATTATGTTAGCAGTCAATCTTGCTCGAGACGAGCAAGAGCTCAAGTTTGGGGGTGTGATAAGTGTGTTTTTACACACTTATTTAGCACTTTTTGGGACTTTATTATTGATAAAATTGAGTAGATTTCTATTTATAATTGTGTAATTGTTACTTTTGTAGGCTAAAATCCCG